CAGATGAGCCAGGCCACCCTGTATTTTTGAAGGTATACCTTGCCAGGTTCTTTCTCCACAGATAAGCCAAATTCCTTTAGGAAATCAAATTTTTGAGAGTCTACCTTGCCAGGCCCTGTCCCCACAGATGAGCCAGGCCACCATCTATTTTTGAGGGTATACCTTGCCAGGCCCCATCTCCACAGATGAGCCAAATTCCTTTAGGAAATCAAATTTTTGAGGGTGTACCTTGCCAGGCCCTGTCCCCACAGATGAGCCGGGCGACCATCTATTTTTGAGGCTATACCTTGCCAGGTTCTGTCTCCACAGATGAGCTGGGCCACCATCTGTTTTTGAGGGTATACTTTGCCAGGCCCCGTCTCCACAGATGAGCCAGGCCACCATCTATTTTTGAGGGTATACCTTGCCAGGCTCTGTCTCCACAGATGAGCCAAATTCCTTCAGGAAATCAAATTTTTGAGGGTATACCTTGCCAGGCCCTGTCTCCACAGATAAGCCAAATTCCTTTAGGAAATCAAATTGGAAGTTTGCTAAAACAATCTGCGTGAGGTTTGTCATATGTAAGAATCTTAGTTTGATTACACCAAGAAGTCATATTGTTATAAAGTGGGTGATAAGGAGTAACATTTAAACGTTTTCTCCTAGGAAATGAAAAAAAATAACAGGTATCCATAGTTAATGAGCCTAGGATTTCTAGCTCTTGAAGGTCAAGTTTATTAACTTTAGAATTATCAATATAAGATCAGATTTATCAACTTTAGAATTACCAATATAATTTTGGTGTTTCTGGCTGGGAGTTGGGGATACACGATGATCATCATGTGCTGGCACATCTCACAGGCAATCAGAGAAAGCCTGCTTGGCCTTCCTGCTTCAGGCATTCCTGTGGCACTGCTGGGATGGGAGAGAAGCTTAGAAAGCTCCAAAACCAGCTTTGCTTTCTGTGCCTAGAAGTTGCACTAAAATCCACGTGCAAAAGAATGTGAATAATCACAGGGACTCCCAGCAACAGCTCTGCCAGCCAGCTGGTGCCTCCAAGGGTGATTCCAGCACTTCTCCCCGTGCCTGTTCCTGCAGCAGCACAGGTGGCAGTGCCACCTCAGGGTCACATCAAAGTAATGGGGCAGAGCTGGAGCAGATGCAAGTCCCTGTTACTCCACCAAGTGTTGCAACTGAGGTGTTTGGAGGTGTTTAGGGACAGATGGGAGTGCCTGTGTGCACTTGGAAGATGTGAGTGCACGGTTCCTTTGAAGCACGTGTGGAGCAGGGATTGTCTCATTCCTGAAAAATAAAGAGTCAAATCCATCCAGGAAAGCACGAGGCTCGTGGGCCCAGGCACTGCTCACACACAGAGTGAAGCAGTTGTGAAATTTTCCCCACCCTGTGCTCAGAGGTCCTGAGGAATCAAAGCCATGTGCATGGAAAGGCTGAGAAAAGCTTCTCAAGTTCAGCTGAGCCACCCTGCTCACTCAAACCCCAAGGGACAGGGCTGGCCAGCCCCCACTGATCCCTCTGGAACACACCTCGATCCCAAACAGAGTTAGTGCAAGCTCAGCACTCAGGAAATCCATGTGAGTGAGCAGCTCAACAAAAACACAGGGCTCACCTCTGGGAAAACAGCCTGCTCATCACAGCCCCGCTGTCCTACTGTTCACTGACCTTTGGCTGCAGGCCTTGACACCAAAATCCAAACAGAAAATAAGGGAATATCCCATCCCCCAGGCAGCCCTGGTGCTGCCTCTGGCTCTGTTTGATCTCACCACTTGCTCTGTTCCACCCCAGGCCTGCCCAGAGGCTCTCGGTGCCTCCTGCCATGCTGAGGGATGTGGCACCCACGCCTTTGGGCTAATCTCCTCGTGTTTATTCTTGCTGTCACAACACCTCCTTGTGTCCTCATTCAAGCTGAGAAATAGATGTTCCCTGTGACAACACAGAGCCGGGCCAAGAGCAGAGCTCAGGGATGGCTCTGAGAGCCCACGCCGTGTGGGCAGCTCAGAGTGCGTCAGCACGCGCTGGAGGAGGGAGGACATCACCTCATCACCTTCCTCTGGGGACAGGGCCCTTCCAGGGTCCCCGTGGGGACACAGCTCCCCTGGGAGTTTGCCTGTTGGGTTTCAGTGGGTTTGTGGGTTTGGGTGTGAACTCTCCTCTCTGCTCAGCCCCACAGAGGTTCTGTGCCCTCCTGGGCAGAGCATTTCACCTGAGGAGACAAACCAGCTCTCAGCTCGCTGGGATGGGGCTAAGAAAGGGGCAGGTGGCACCATGAGCCTGGCAGCCCCAAGATCTGAGTGTTGTCACCTACAGGGTCACCCCACCAGGGTAGCTGCAGTATCCTCTGTCTCAGGTACCTGGCACATGCTCAGCTTTCTCTGAGGTGTTTTCCCTGCCTGGACACCTCCAGCCATGACAATTTTCCTCCTCTGACCCTCTGTGAGGGACTTCAGTCCCCTTCTACCTCCCTCCAACACTCCCTGCCTTAGGAACTTGGTTGCCTGTCCTTCCTCTGCCTTCAAAATATTTCTCATCTATGACTGTGCTCCCACCTGAGGCTGGAGCAGACAGGGTTTGGTGCTCACTGGTCCATCTCAAACAGCTCAGGAGCACACTCCAAGGGGAATTAAAGGGAGGCTGGAGCTTTGCTGGGTATAAACTCACTTCTCCTGCGGTTAATCAAAGCCTGTTAAGGCTGGGCCTGCTGTGGCACTTCTTTGGGAAGTCCCTTTGCAGCATGGCTGGCGTGGTTCTGACAGAACTTTGATCTGCTGACAGATGGAATCAAAATAAAACTTAAATTGGAGGCAGCAAATGAGGAGGCAGCACCAGGAAAGCTCTGCAGTCACAGATACCTGTGTGCATTTCCCCTGGTGACAGGAAAAGGCCAGTTCTGCTGTCAGCACTTTGCTCAAAACCCTCACCCAAACAGAAAACAACTCTCAGGGTGAGGAGGCAAATGAAGAAATTCACATAGCAGTTATGGGAACATCACTCCATATGGTAGTTATGGAGCTGCTCCAGAAGTTGAGGGCCAAGGAAAAGACCAATTCAGCTGTGATCTGTTCCACATTTAGCAAATCAAATGGCTCAAACACAGAAACATGGCATGAAGGGACCTCTCTGTGAACTGCTGGACAAACAGGAGGCAGCGTCACAGGAGGATTTTCTTAATGCCTTCCATGACCAGCTCTAACCACATCCCTTCCTGAGGTTGCATAAGCCCAGCTTTTGATCAAAATCCTTTCCTTCCTCCCAAAAATAAATGTAAAACAACTTTTAAAAACAAATGCAGCGATGATGAAAGATCAAGACACTGATTCACGTCCCAGAAAGAAATAATTTTATTCATTTTACGTAAGGAAGCGGCAAAGGGATTGACAGCAGATTGCAGTGAGGTGAGTCACGAGACTGGGACAAAGATGTGGTGCATCAGGTGGGATAACTGCAGCATCTGAGGATACAGCAAGTGTAAAACAGCCAGAATCACTGAATATCCCAGGTGGGAAGGGACCTGTGACATTGTTCACAGGGGTTTTAGGATGAGGGAAGAGACAAGGATCTGACTCCATGTTTCAGAAGGCTTGATTTATTATTTTATGATATATATTATATTAAAACTATACTAAAAGAAGAAAGGATTTCATCAGAAGGCTAGCTAAGAATAGAAAAAGAAATAATGAATAACAAAGGCTTGTGTCTCAGACAGAGAGTCCAAGCCAGCTAAGCTGTGATTGGCCATTAATTAAAAACAACTCTATGAGACCAATCACAGATTCACCTGTTGCATTCCACATTGTTTACATTTTGTTCCTGAGGCCTCTCAGCTTCTCAAGAGGAAAAATTGTAAAGAAAAGATTTTTCAGAAAATATCACAGCTACAGGGACCCACGAGGATCTCAAGTCCAGCAGCAAAAGCTTGGCTGGGAGTGGCTCTGCTTAGTGCCATGATCCTGTCTTATGAAATCAAATTTATTTATTCAAAGGATGATCTACTCAAAATGTTCTTCCCCCTGAGGGTGCTGGGCACTGCCCAGGCTCCCCAGGGAATGGTGCCAAGGCTGCCAAATCTCCAGGAGCTCTCAGGGCTGCTCAGGGTGGGAGTATTGCAGTGGCTGTGCAGGGACAGGGGCTGCACTGATCATCCCTGTGGGATCCAGCTCTGGATGTTCTGATTCTGTGATACTCTGCTATAAAAAGGCAAAATATCCAGATAGTTCTTACAGCTTTAATTAGCAGCAGTGTGAGAATGACTCTGTGCCCAGCCTCTGGACACGCTGAAGCAGCTGTGTGAAAAAAAAGTTTTAAAAGTTTAATAGTAATAAAATGGTTATGAAAATAGTAATACAATTAGAGTAATAATAACTTGGACAATTTGGATTAGGACAATATGAGACAATAAATACAAAGAGTTACAGACAGTCCGGGTACCTTTTTCTGGACAGCACGAGCCCGAAAAAGGACACAGTTAACAGAAGATTAACCCTTAAAAACAACAGCCTGTTGCATATTCATACACTTCATACATGATGCACAAATTCCATTCAAACACAGGATTCTGTCTGGGCAGTGTCAACTTCTTCCTCTGAATCCCAACAGTGCCTTTGAGGCAGGAAGAAGTTCCTTTCTTCCGATAATGGGGCAATAAATTCTTTTTCTCTGAAAGATTCAGGTGTGCTGTGGCTGCTTTCTTGCTGCGAGTCCTCTCTTTAGAAAAAGTATCCTACATAGCACAGCTTCTATTTTAACATTTTTTATAACCTAAAACTATATTTAACACAGTACTTAAGAGAATTAATACAGCATCACTTTCTATCACAACACATATAATATTCATTTGAATATTTGCATAAAGCCAATCATAAAATTCGCATTTTTTCCAGGCACCATTCCCGGGCAGGGCCCGGCTGGGCCGCGGGGCAGCCAGGCCGCGTTGCCATGGCGACAGCTCCGCCTCCTTCCCAGCGTGCCCCGCGCCCGCACGTGACTTCACACCCGGAAGTGTTGCCATGGCGGCGGGCGCGCTCTGGGGGCTCGTGGCTGCACTGGAGACGCACCGGGGCCGCGACCGGGCGGTGAGTGAGGGGATGGGGGGTCTGAACCCCCGGTACCGGGCAGTGAGTGAGGGGAGAGGGGGGTTCTGAACCCCCGGTACCGGGCGGTGAGTGAGGGGAGGGGGGGTCTGAACCCCCGGTACCGGGCAGTGAATGAGGGGAGAGGGGGGTTCTGAACCCCCGGTACCGGGCAGTGAGTGAGGAGAGGGGAGTTCTGAACCCCCGGTACCGGGCAGTGAGTGAGGAGGGGGCTCTGAGGCCGCCGGTACCGGGACTGTAGCGACCCACCTTTAACGGGAATGAAGCAGCTGAGGGGTTCCTAAGTGCTGGTGATGGAAAGGAACGACAAAAGGCGGAGGGGGCACAAACAATCCTGAGTTTTACCGGTAAATGACGGGATGGAAACGGGAATGGGAGTCCCGGAGCACAGGGGGAGGGGAAGGGAAGGGAAGGGAAGGGAAGGAAAAAGGGAAAGGAAAAGGAAGGAAAAAGGGAAAGGAAGGAAAAGAAAAGGAAAAGGGGAAGGGGAGGAAAAGGAAAAAGAAAAGATGGATGGATAGATAGACAGATAAGCAGCCCCGGTTCCAGCCGCACCCTCCCGTGCCATCCCCAGGTCCGGGCTCTGTCCTACGGCTGCCAGCTGGCGGGGGCAGCGCTGCCCGGACCCGGGGGGCTGCCCGGGGGGCTCCTGGCCGCCTCTGCCCAGCTCAGCTCCTGCCGCACCGCCCTGCGCCTCTTCGACGACCTGGCCATGCTCCGGCACAGCTGCAGCTACGGGCTGGGCCCCGAGGTGAGAGCGGCCCCGGTGCCCCGGGCCGGGCCCCGAGGTGAGAGCGGCCCCGGTGCCCCGGGCCGGGCCCCGAGGTGAGAGCGGCCCCGGTGCTCCCGGGCGGCTCCCGGTGCCCCCGTGCCCCATGTGCCGCTCTGTGCCCTCCCTCAGGGTGAGGACGCGCTGGTCCGAGGGCTCTCGGTGCTCTCCAACGTGGCCAACCAGCTGTACTACCCCTGCGAGCACCTGGCCTGGGCCGCCGATGTCGGCATCGTCAGAGCCGCCTCCCAGCGCTGGTGGGCACGGAGCACGGCGCTGTGGGGCTGTGCCCTGCTCTTGGGCATCCTGCGGTACGGGATGGGCACCGGGGGGTGATCCTGGGCATCCTGGGGGCTGTGCCCTGCTTCTGGGCATTCCCGGGGGGCTGTGCCCTGCTCCTGGGCATCCTGCGGTATGGGACGGGCACCGGGGGGTGATCCTGCCCTACTCCTGGGCATCCTGGGATGGGCACTGTGGGGCTGTGCCCTGCTCCTGGGCATCCTGGGATGGGCACTGTGGGGCTGTGCCCTACTCCTGGGCATCCTGGGATGGGCACTGGGGGCTGATCCTGCCCTGCTCCTGGGCATCCTGTGGTACAACATGGGCACTGGGGGCTGTGCCCTGCTCCTGGCATCCTGCGGTACGGGATGGGCACCAGGGTGATCCTGCCCTGGCAAAGCTGAGGGAGGTGCTCTTCTTCCTCGCTGGAGTTGGTAGTGAAAGAGGGAAATAAAACTTCCTCCTGCTTGTTGCTGTAGGAGAAATAATTCTGTGCTTTTCAGATCCCTGAGAATCCTGTTCCAGTTAAGAAGAAAGCTGAGCCAGCACAAGTGGTAGGATTTCCCTCTGTGGTTGTAGAGCTGATCAGGCAATCCCAGAGTGGTTTGGGTTGGGAGGGACCTTAAAGCCCATCCCACTCCCTTTCACCTTCCACCATCCCAGGCTGCTCCAAGCCCTGTCCAGCCTGGCCTTGGGCACTGCCAGGGATCCAGGGGCAGCCACAGCTGCTCTGGGAATTCTATCCCAGCCCCTCCCCACCCTCACAAGAACAATTCCTGCCCAATATCCCATCCATCTCTTCCCCTCTGGCAGTGGAAGCCATTTTCTGTGTCCTTTCCCAAAGTCCCTTTCCATCCTTCCTGTCAGTTCTCATCTGTGGCCATCACAGCTCTGAGGACATGCTGGATTAATGTGGGAAATGGATTTGGAGGGAATTCTCAAAGTTTGACAGAGGCTCACACAGTGTCAAACCTTGAAATAAGAAATGCTGGCTTAGAAATGCCAGGGAATAGCACAGACATTGCTGAGAGAGAAATGGAACTGGAAAGTTTCAAAGGATGGTTTTGTAAATAATACTGGACACTTTGGATAAATAGAACTATGAAAGATTCCTTGTAGTGGGACCCATGAGGGGTAATTTTGGGTGATTGGCTTTAAGGCATTTACAGCATGGTGTGACTAAAGCTGATAGGCCAATAAACGTTTATATTGTAATTAGGAAATAGTTAACTTCTCACGGTGATGGTGTGAACTATAACATCTGTATTGTCTCACCCTTCACATGAGACTGAAAATGGACTAAAAGTTGTTAAAACACCTCTCAGTTACCCCATCTCTGGGTCAGAAAAGGTTTAATGTGACAGACTGTCACTCACATCACCTTTTCTTCCAGCAGCCCTTCACCTCAGAGGCAGCAGAAGCTGAGAGCCCAGGTGAAGGCTGAACTTCTGAGCATCCTCATGGACACAGCAGATCTCTGCAATGCCATCCACTGGCTGCCTCCAGGGTTCCTCTGGGCAGGAAGGTTCCCCCCATGGCTGGTTGGACTCCTGGGCACCATCTCCTCCCTGATTGGAATCTACCAGGCATCAAGAGGAGCAAATTCTGAAGCTGCTTAAGCCAGAACTGAGCATCACAAGCTCAGTTTTCACATGGTAAAAGTGCCTTTGGTGAAGCAGGGTGTAGTTTAACTTTCCTGGGTTGATGATTGTCCTTCCAGATATCCCATAATTGGGATGGAATCCAGATGCCTGTTGCAGAGGAGATTTTTTGCAGCTGATAATTCTTATCATTCTTTGTCAGAGAAATAATTCAGGTGAATCCTCTGACAATCAACAGTGGGTAAAACTGAGGGGGAAAGTTGCTTCCATGTGTCCCAAAAGATAAATGCAACCTGCCAGTGTTGTTTGCCACTTAAAGGAGCAGAGTGGCCACAGTTCTGTCACAGAGAACTGGTAAGGGAAGAATCCTGGGAGCTCCCACCCTGAGCCAGGATGGGACCCCTGTGCTGGGAATTCTCCAGGTATTGGGGTTAGGGCTCAGACAGGAGCCAGCAGGGTGGTGTTTGTGTTTCCTCAGAGGTGAGAGGGGCAGGAATTGCTGCTGGAAGCAGCGTGGATCTTCCTAACCTGCCCTGCCCGTTGGAGGAGAAATGTTGGGAGTGGAGATTCCCCAATTCCCATTCCAGCTGTGCCTTTGTGCGGTGCCACCGGGTGGAGCTCTTCCACCAGGCTCCGGCAGCCTCCAACAGACCTGTTTTCAGAAATTTCCTGCTTTTTTTTTTTTTTTTTTTTTCTTTTTAATAAATCACCTTTCAAAGGAGCAATCAAACCAGCGCCGAGCTGGGGTTTGCAGTTCCAGTTCTGGGCGTTGCCAATAATAAACGACACAAATGCTTCAAAGGTGGCCCTGAGTGATCATTCCTCCTGATAACAGGGAGAAGTTCTTTATCTTTGCTTCTGGAAAGCTCCAGAGCATTAGTGCTGTGTGAGCCGCAGCTCCACATGTGCCACCAGCCTTCCTCCTTGTGAAAAACGCCAATCAGTTGTTTTTTAAAATTTTAAGAGTTTAATAGTAATAAAATGGTTATAAAAATAGGAATGCAATTAGAGTAATAATAATTTAGACAATTTGGATTGGGACAATATGAGATAATAAATACAAAGAGTTATGGATGGTCCAGGTACCTTTTTCTGGGCAGCGCGAGCCCGAAAAAGGACACAGTTAACAGAGGATTAACCCTTAAAAACAACAGCCTGTTGCATATTCATACACCTCATACATTATGCATAAATTCCATTCAAACACAGGATTCTGTCTGGGCAGTGTCAACTTCTTCCTCCTAACAGCACCTTCGAGGCAGGAAGAAGTTAATTTCTTCTGATAATGGGGCAATAAATTCTCTTTCTCTGAAAGATTCAGGTGTCCTGTGGCTGCTATCTTGCTGCAAATCCTTTCTTTAAAAAAGTATCCCACATAGCATCCTTTCTATTTTAGCATTTTGTTATAACCTAAAACTGTATTTACCACACTACTTAAGAGAATTAATACAGCACTACTTTCTAACACAACACATACAATATTCATTTGAATATTTGCCAAAAGCCAATCACAAAATACACGCATTTTTCACACTCCTGCTGCAGTAATTCCCAGTGCCTGCCTGCCTGCCATGGAAATGCATCCTTTGAAAAGAGTTGTGCTTGCTCTGGTGTCTCTGCCCCCAGCACAGCACATGCTGCACTTCCAGGAGCTGTGACCTTGCTGTGTGGGGCTGCTTTTGGCCTGGGCACGGGGAGCTGTGTCCTGCCTGTGTTCAAAGAGCACAGGGAGCCCTGCAAACTCTTTATCCTTTGCCCTTGGTGTTTATCTGGACCTTCACCCTGCAGTGTCCCTGAGGATGTGGCTGTGCTGGGCATTTGGTGCCACACTGGCAGGATTTGGTGCAGCTCAGGGCTTACCTGGGGTTTGTTTATTCTTGTTTATTCTCTCTTTTTCTCAGTCCTGTGTCTGAACAGGGGGATCCCTCCTGCTCCTGTCACCCACTGTGGTGGCTCCTGCTGCAGTTTAGTGGTTTTTAATAATAAATCAGATTTCTTTTGGTGTTCTTAACCCCATTGATCATTCCTCCAGGATTCACTGGACTGCTCAGCACAGGACAATACTATTAGGTAGCCATATAATATTAATACTAATGCTATACAGGACAATTGTAGCTCTGTCAATTTTAAGAAAACAAGACAAGAAATCCTGCATAACCTCTGATGCCAAATTAATTTATTTGTTTGTTTATTCTTGTTTATTCTCTCCTTTTCTCAGTCCTGTGCCTGAAAAGGGGGAGCACCCAAGGCCTCTGGCTATTGCCTGGTTCTGTCACTTATTGTGGTGGCTCCTGCTGCAGTTTAGTGGTTTTTAATAATAAATCAGATTTCTTTTGGTGTTCTTAACCCCATTGATCGTTCCTCCAGGACTCACTGGACTGCTCAGCACAGGACAATACTATTAGGTATCCATATAATATTAATACTAATGCTATACAGGACAATTGTAGCTCTGCCAATTTTAAGAAAACAAGACAAGAAATCCTGCATAACCTCTGATGCCAAATTAATAAACATCTTAACCATGCATTAATTTTAATGTAGAGAAAAGAAATTGTAAACTGCTCCAAGTGCAGTCTGCAGTGCATTTCCAGTGCATTTGCTTCATCCATTCCTCAACAAATGACCTTAATTTACAGCTGGAACATGCAGAGATAAATCAAAATTGGGTGATTCAGAATTTCTGGGATTTGTATTTTTTTCTTGAGGTTGTTTTGATCCCTGCTGACACACAGTGTTTAAACACCTGTGGTGGCTGCTGCCTCTCCAGGGCAGCACTCACTCATTTTTAGCACAAGGACTTGTGCAGGCAGACCCGATCCTCTCAAAACTTGGTGATTTTCTTCTCTTTTCTGGGGTGGCTGGTGAAAAATGCATATATTTTATGATTGGCTTTTTGTAAACATTAAAATGAATATTGTATGTGTTGTGTTAGAAAGTAATGCTGTATTAATTCTCTTAAGTAGTGTGGTAAATATCGTTTTAGGCTTTAACAAAATGTTAAAATAAAAACTTTGCTGTGTAAGATACTTTTATTAAAGAAAGGACTCGCAGTGAGATAGCAGCTACAGGACACCTGAATCTTTCAGAGAAAGAGAATTTATTGCTCTCTTATCAGAAGAAACGAACTTCTTCCTGCCTCGAAGGTGCTGTTAGGATTCAGAGGAAGTAGCTGATGATGACCAGACAGAATCCTGTGTTTGAATGGAATTTATGCATCATGTGTGAGGTGTATGAATATGCAACAGGTTATTATTTTTAAGGGTTAATCCTTTGTTAACTGTGTCCTTTTTCGGGCTTATGCTGCCCAGAAAAATGTACCCGGACTGTCTGTAACTCTTTGTCCCTATAGTCTCATATTGTCCTAATTCAAATTGTCCAAATTGTTATTACTCTAATTGTAAAGTTATTTTTATAACTTTTAAAAATTTAGAAACAACTGTTTGGCGTTGTTCACATGCTCCACGCAGGAGCACATTTGCTGAGCAGGCCTGGCTGCTCCGGCCGGGATCTGCCTCTGTCAGCAGCCGGGATCCAAAGGGCGCTGCCGGTCCCGGCGCCGCTGCCCCGTTTATGGCCCTTTATGGCGGGGGTGGCTCCATCCGCCAAACCCGGGAGCCTCAGATCCGCCGGCCCGGCCCCCGTGCCGCGATGCTCGGGCTGTACCGCGATGCTGGGACCGGGGGACACCGGGGGACACCGGGAGGCACCGGCGGACGCGGGGAGGGGACACGGCCACGCTGCCCGCGGGCAGGGCGGGGAGCAGCGCGCTGCGCATGCGCACGGCTGGCCCCGCCTCCCATTCACAAAGAGACAGTGCCGCGCGCCGCGGGCGCTGATTGGCTGCGAGGCGGGGGGGCGGGGCCGGAGCGGGGCGGCCACGCGGCGGCGGCGGAGGGGCGGCGGCAGAGCCGGAGCGGAGCGGGAGCGGGCGGGACCGGGCACCGAATCGGGTACGGGATACCGAGTGCGGAACCGGGTATGAGATACCGCGTACGGCATAGCGGGGACCGGGTACGGAACCGGGTACGGGATACTGGGTACGGGATAACGGGGACCGGGCGGGACCGGGTGCAGAACCGGGTACGAGATACTGGGTGCAGGATAGTGGGGACCGGGTACGGAACCGGGTGCGGGATAGCGGGGACCGGGTACGGGATAGCAAGGACAGTGAGAAACCGGGTACGGCATCGGGTATGGGACAGCGACGACTGTACAGGAACGGGTAGGGAACCGGGTACGGGATAGCAGGGACCGTGTAGGGCCGAATACGGAACCGTGTGCGGGACGGGGTGCGGGGTAACGGGGACCGCGCGGTACTGGATACGGCATAGGGGGGACCGTGAGGGACACCTGGACCAGGCGCGGGACCGCGGGGGCAGGAGCGGGACCAGGTGAGAACCGCGGGGCCGGGTGCAGAATAACTGAGTCAAGCCCGGGACAGCGGGTCCGGATGCGGGACAGAGGAGCCAGGTGCGGGACCGCGGGGCGGGCTGGGCGCGGGCATCACCGGGAGCGCACATCGCCCCCTCCCCGGTACTACCTGAGGCCCGGCGGAGTTCTGCGCTGCACGGTTCGGGATCTCCCCGTACCCCGTTTCGGTCGGTGCCCCGCAGCTGACCGGTGCTCCCGGTGCCCCGTTCCGGCACGGCCCCACCGCGCTCCCGTTACCGGCCGGTACCGCGCTCCTCCCGGCCGTGCCGTGCCGGGCCCGTGGCCGCGCTGCCCGTGCTGACTCGCCGCTTTTGCCCCGCAGAGCAGCCTCAGCACAATGTCCGTGAGCAGCCACGAGAACCGGAAATCCCGCTCGAGCTCGGGCTCCATGAACATCCACCTCTTCCACAAACCGGGCCACGCCGACAGCCTCCTCACCCAGCTGAACCTGCTCCGCCAGCAGAACCTCTTCACCGACGTGGTGCTGCGGGCGGGCAACCAGAGCTTCCCGTGCCACCGCGCCGTCCTGGCCGCCTGCAGCCGCTACTTCAACGCCATGTTCAGCGGGGGCCTGAAGGAGAGCAGGGATGCCGAGGTCAACTTCCACGACTCGCTGCACCCCGAGGTGCTGGAGCTGCTGCTGGACTACGCCTACTCAGCCCGGGTGCTGATCAACGAGGAGAACGCCGAGTCCCTGCTGGAGGCCGGGGACATGCTGCAGTTCCAGGATATCCGGGATGCTTCTGCTGACTTTCTGGAGAAGAATCTCTACCCTGGGAACTGCCTGAACATGCTGCTGCTGTCCGATGCCCACTGCTGCGAGCGGCTGCTGGAGCTGTCCTGGAGGATGGCCTTGGCCAACTTCACCTCGCTCTGCAAGACTGAGGATTTCCTCCGGCTGCCCAAAGACAAGCTGCTGGAGCTGGTGGAGAGCGAGGAGCTGGAGGTGGAGGACGAGACTCTGGTCTACGAAGCCGTTATAGGCTGGATCCGCTACGATCTGCCCCGGCGCCACGAAGTTCTGCCCGAGCTGCTGCGCTCCGTGCGCCTGGCCCTGCTGCCCGAGTCCTACCTGAGGAAGCAGGTGGCCTGCGAGAAGCTGGTGACCAGCCACAAGCTGGGGGAGGAGATCGTGGCCGACGCCGTGCGCTGCAAAATGAAGATCCTGCAGAACGACGGGCTGGTGACGGGCTGCTGCGCCCGGCCCCGCAAGGTCAGCCAGGCCCTGCTGCTGCTCGGCGGCCAGACCTTCATGTGCGACAAGATTTACGTGCTGGACCATAAAAGCAGCGAGATCATCCCTCGTGCCGACATCCCCAGCCCCCGCAAGGAGTGCAGCGCCTGCGCCATCGGCTGCAAGGTTTACATCACCGGCGGCAAGGGCTCCGAGAACGGCGCCTCCAGGGACGTCTGGGTCTACGACACCCTCCACGACGAGTGGGCCAAAGCCGCTCCCATGCTGGTGGCGCGGTTTGGCCACGGTTCCGCCGAGCTGGACCACTGCCTGTACGTGGTGGGGGGACACA